TGCAGTCGTTCCATCCGTAGTAGGTGCAGTAGGTAGTGACTGAGCTTTTCACATGGTTTTCAAAGCTCTGCAGGTGGTGGTACTATTCCACCTGATCTCTTTCTGTAATCCGGCAAACGGTATATTTGTTAACCTTTATTTACCTGGAACATCAGATGCCTCCGCGGATTTATAGCGAACAAATTATTACATTTGATAGCTTGGAAAATGTAGACTGAATTCAGCACAAAAGTTGCATTACAGATAGTCAGATACAGATAGTTTACAGGTGGCGGCAGACACCGGATGCAGTGCACATACCTGGCCATAACCTAAGACCGATCCGGTTTTACGTTATTCTTATTGTTATCGTTAAAATAAATCTTAATTTGAATGTATTTTATGGAGGATCAAGTGTGCACAAGATAATAGGGAAAGTTTCCCTAAATTGCCCGTCCAAAAGCCCCTCTATTGTCTTGAATAGTTGAAGAGAGTTGTGGAGTGTCCCGCCAGAGCCACGCCCCACCAGCCCTTGTCCGGGGCAACGCGTGTGCATTTTCACAGCCGTTTGAACTTCGAAACAATCGCAAAATGTGCAACATGGCGTAAAGAAACCGTGCTAAGCGCAGCAGTTAGCTTTCGGGGAGACTCTTTGCTTTACTTTGCATACATATGGCACATGGCACATGGCACATGGCATAACTGTATCTACAGACATCCCCATACGCATAGAACGATTCAGGGGCAATGGATAATACTAATTTGATACGCATTCAATTGGATATTTTCGATTAAACAGACATGGAGGGCTCGACAACTGCAGGACATTAAACAGATATATGTATTACTTCGTTGGCTGGAAAACCATTTTGGATTATTAATTATTTCGAATAAATTCCAATTCAATTTAAAGCCGAAATAACTGAATCGAAGGCTAGCTAATGGGTATCTAGAAAAAAAACCGAGATTTTCGTGTACAAAGCACATCGTTGATGCTTAAAATGTTGCAGCGGTTGAAAAGGAAAACGAAAGTCAATTGAATTCCCAAGAGTCATTCAGAATCAGTGAGAGTGCCGCCAATGACATAGAAAGTTGCTGGGGAAAATAGTCTGCTCCTGCTCAATATCTGAGCTGAGCACAACTTGTACTAGAAAAGTTGACAGCGAAACGCATACTTTCACTTTGAAGGCCACTCACACGCACACGCACAGGTACAAACACACTGACACGATAGAAAAGGGGATTGACAGAGACGGACGAGCTGTCAATCTCAGTAAAATGTCCGCTGCTCGCTGAAGCGCATAACGGAAATCGGCCGCCATATCGGGCGGATGTGTTCGACAAGGCCGTGCGGAAATGAAGCGTATGTAAGGGTGTGCGCCACAGCAGCATGGCAAAAGTACTAGTCGGATTGCGAAATTGACTAAGTAAAATAACCATAATCGTTGCCCACAGGCAGGGACATATCGCATGACAATGAGGCCGAATAAAACGCAGCTCCAGCTTCCCAAACAGAGATAGATATGTTGTTGTAGCCCCAAATCGGCCGAGAAGGCGTCCGAATCGATTTTGAATTTGCAGTTAAAATGCAAATTTTTGCGGCACATAGAGAAGAGTAGAGCGGGCGGACACAAAGGTCAGAGGTTCTCCCGCATGCAAATTCCTATTTGACCAAGTTTCGTTTTGTCAAATGCATCAAACGCACAACAGGACCTGAGTCACGAATCCTGCGCAAATTTTACTTGTGAATACAGCCACAGTTTCAGTTGCAGTTACAGTTGTAGATGCAGATTGGGATACATCTGCATTGTGTGCGTTTCGATTGCATGTTCAGCTTGAGCTGCATTATGTTTCCAATGCATATATGTATGTATGTACAATAAGCCTGTGCAACAAATTTGGCCAAACAAAGGAGAGAATAGAATTTCATTTCAATTTGGAAATTATTTACTTGACAAGAGAGTACTGGTCGTAATAATAGATTCTTCTGAATTCAATAGCTCTAGGAAATGGATGGCATGCTCTGGTGCCAATTGGCGAAGCTCCCCATACCATGATCTGTTACTTTTCAACGAAAATAGTCAATTTTTTATCCGAAACTTATCTCAATCTCACTGTCTATCACTCTGAATGCGGGGTTTTTTTCTACTTTCACCTATGCTTCGTCTTTTCAGTTCGTCTGGGCAGGTGAGTCGGTCCCAGAATCGTACAATAATCCTACTTTTCTGTCAGGTACGCGCAAAGGACTATTTCTCTCTCACAGACACCAACACTTTGGCGACTCTTTGGCTGATACGACTCTCTTTCGCCCTCAAGCCACGCCCTCCGCGAAAACCAATTGAAAGAATAACGGATCACTCTACTGCGTGGTGTCCTTTGCCTATTGATCCTCCTCCTCCCTTCTGTACTTATACTATCATTTCTGCTCAACGACTGTAGATACGCTCCAAAATATGTATGTACATATTTATAGGCATGAAAATCGAAGCTTTTCTTCTACATGATTTCCTTTGTCGTCCTTTTCCTGTCACAGTCTATTAATTTCAAAAGTGCCATTGCATATGATACGGCTGGCAGTGGAGTCCCCATGCAAGTCTTCAACTTTTTCTGCTCTGCACTCGGTTTTTGTGAGGGGGAAAGTCTAATTTAATCTGCTGCAAGCCATGAGTACTCAAATTTCCACAAAAAAGTGCAATAAATTCGACTCCGGTCGCCGGTTCTCCGGTCAGCATCAGTAGCAAAAAATGTCGAATGGAAAAGCACTAAACGGGTGGCGGCCACTGCCCATATAGGACCAGGAGGTGCTCTCTGCCCTGTCCAGAAGCGAAGGATGTTGCACTATTGCATGTTACATGCTCTCACTCACTTTTTCTCTTTCTCTCAGATTGGATGTGTCCCGGCTTTAGCTTGTCGCCCCACAGGACTGGAAACTTCTGTGGTAGCTTATACTCCTATTTTCTATGATTTATTTGTTGCATTAGTGAATGTCGCTGGCAGCAGGGGCAGGAGCTGTTTCTGGCGGCCACTTCAGAGTGTCTGAGCCTGCGGGGCCCGAAGGTGCACCTAAAGGTGCAACGCACTCTCCACTATTATAAATGGCCAGACTCGGACTATGGCTCCTCTCTTCCACTCGAGCGCTGAACTTTCGACCAGCAGAACATTAACAATTCCCTCTTCCTTTTTCATGCCTTAAACATGCACAAAGTCGCGGGGGAGCAAATAAACAGAGCACAGTGAAACTACGACTACAGTAAACACTGCAGCGAGTGAAAGGCAGCGCAGCGAGCCGTGCTAATTGTGTCATTTACATTGGCAAACAAGTGCGAGTGAATAAGTCAGCGGCTCAGTCAGATTAATGCGGATGAGCGCATCTCCGCAGCTCTTTGCACAGTCCAAATTAACGACAGCCGGCGACTATTTGCCTTTCTGTGAGGCAAGCCAACCGTTGGCTTTCGGTGTAAAATGGGTTAAAAAAGAGAAATATATAAAAAAAAAGATATTGGCTTGTCAGAAGTGGGATTCGAACCCACGCCTACAGAAGTAGACTGCGACCTGAACGCAGCGCCTTAGACCACTCGGCCATCCTGACTGTTGAGCAACGTACATGCCAGCTCTGTCTTAAGCGAGGGCAGCATTGAAAGCTTTCTGCGCCAATTGATCTGGCCGAAAGCTTCTACACTTCGGACGAAGAGTTCTGTAGAAAAAGCTCTGACCATCACATCATCCATTCGGTGTTTCCCACTCCCTCTATATAATTAAATGTTTTCTGTTTAGGTAAAACTAAAAATTTGTTGTATTTATTGAATTATCTCAGTATTTGATACGATCAAAAAAAGTATTATAATGCAATGATACTTATGTGTAGAAAAGGTTCTTAAATATTTTGTTTTGCTTGCCACTCATCCAGATATAATTAAAATGTGTCTTATTAGCATCGTATCATTCCATATTTAACACGAAAATCAATGTTAATTATGAAAAAAATCCACTCACGCACTTCGTAAAAATTGCAAACAAATCGTTCGAATAAAATTAATTTATTTTGTAAGAAACGCAGTTTCCCACAAAAAATTGCTATACGTTCCCTAGGTCGTATATACATTCATACATAGTTTAACTAAAAAGTATGACTAAAATGTATTCCAAAAACTTCTTGCACGTTTAAATCAAATCGGGTTTTTTTTTGTTGGTTTTTTTACTTTATAGTTTAGGCTTTTTTTTTGCTTTCCCTGTTGGGGTGTGTATTCTTCATCTAAGTTTTGCTTTTGTTATTTATTTTTAGTACTAAGTCTTTCAATAGTTTCATTTGAATTTTGAGTTTTTGCTTTTGCGTTTGACAAACTGGATTCCATAAAATACATTTGTGGCCCGTTTCCTTTTCATTGAACTAAATTGAGCTAAAATATATATTACATTTGCCGTTTTGTAACCTTTTTTGCCATTTGTGTGTGCTAAAAATAGTTTATGGAGGGTTCCACTTTTGCTTTTACTTTTGTTTCAGCTTTGTTTGTTTTGCCAAAGAAAATGTGCTTAATTATTTTATATCGTTTTTTGTTTGCATTTTATATTTTATATTTCATAATCAAGTCGCTTAGGTTTTTGCTTTGCTACATTTCATAACTTCAGGATTTCCATACATCGAACTTATAATAAAGAAGTACACTATATATATAAGTTATATATAAACTTGTATGCGTGTGTGTGTGGGTGTGTGTGTGTATATATTGTATGTACATAATTAATAGGCAACCACTTAAGCTTACTTTAATGTTTTTCTATAAAAATAAGTATTGTTTATGCAAATTGTTTTTGCCACAGAGTGTACTAAAAACCGAAAACTGTACAATACACAATATTCTCATTCTCATTCATATCATTCATCAATATAATCATTATCATTATCATAGGCATGCGGTCATCATAAATTGCATATCTTTATCATTGTCAATCTGTTCAACAGCATTGCATTCCATTCTAAGCACCGACAGACACAAAGCATAGCTGCCAAACCAAACCCCTCATCGGCTTCCAAGAACTCAATTTATTATGGGCTAAGAACAGTATAATTCGCAACAAAAGAACTCTGGCAAATCAAAGGAAACACAATCGATATACATATAAACGAGAACTCTCTATACATGCGCTTGTCTGAACTTGTCTCGTCTCGTGTCGCGTGTCTGGTTTGGCTCCTAGCTCTTTTGGTCCTTAAGCTAATTTGGTTTTCGGATTTGGTTATGCGTGCTTATCGTTGTGTCGCTGGTGTCTCTCTGCGTGGGAGTGGTACTGGGCTGCCAGGCAGTACACACTGGGTCTCGTCGCAACTCGTTGCTCCTCAACTCAAGTTATCGTAATGCTGGTTGTTGTTGTCGTTGCTGTTGCTGTTGCGGCTGGTTGGTGTTTAGTACATTGACTTTCATGAGGCATACATGCGGTTAATATCATGTTGATATCTATCCTGAATGTCCTTGCGCTTGAGCTTAAAGGCAGCCGTCACCAGGCCCATGTCCGGTGACCAGACCTCCTTGCACAGCGTAATGGCGGCGGGCACCTCGAACTTTTGCAATTTGCCTACAAGTAAAACCAACAACACATTTAGTACTGTCTCATCTTATACCCATCTTATACAAAGATGGCGTTTGGCGACTTACATTTCCGTGAATGATCGGCAATCTCCTTGAGTATGGCCTTCTCCATGACTGGCGACGAGCACAGCTCCTCATAGGTTTTGTTCTGCAGGCCGTGACGCTCGGCCAGATCCTCCAGATGTTTCTGATTGGGCACAACCAGCGCCACGGTAAACTGCTTTGTGGGATCGCCATAAACGCAGATATTCTCCACGATGCCGCATGTCTTTAGCTCCGATTCGACCTTGCCAAGAGAAACGTATTCGCCGGCCTGCAGCTTAACCAGATCCTTCTTGCGATCTGCGCAAAGAGAGCGAGAGAGAGAGATTATTAGGTGACTGCTAATACACATTGAAGACAGACGCGAGACTTGCCAATTATCTTAAGTACGCCATCGGTTTGCACCTCGCCAATGTCGCCGGTTTTGAACCAGCGTTTGCCATCCTCCTCGAAGAAATCCTCGTTGGTCTTGCTGGGCAGCTTGTAGTAACCCTGGGAGACACAGTCGCCACCAATGAGCACCTCGCCCTGCGGATATGGCTTGTTGGTGACGCGATAGTTTCCCTCCTCCCAATTGACCAGACGAATGTCGCAGACGGTCAATGGTCCACCAGTGCGTCCATAGGTCATGTCTCTCTCTACGCGGGGAACGGGGAAGAGTAGTAGAGTCTTCGAGCTTAAAGCGGCACAACTTTCCTTCCACTTACCGTGCATCACTGTGGCTCCCGATGTGGTCTCTGTCAATCCATAGCCCTGAATCAAGTCGACGCACAGGCAGGTCTTGATCTGTTCATGTGTGTCCGCCGAGAGCGGCGCTCCGCCCGACATAATGATGCGCACCTTGCCCCCCATCAGTTTAGCCACCTTCTTGAAGACCAATCTGCACAAAGGACGAATTATTCGTTAGGTGATCCTTAATCGAATCTCCGATGCCGCCTTCTTACTTGTCAATGAGGGGCGTCTTGTAGCCTCGCTGTATCCACTTGACTTTGTACTGATAGAGGAATTTGAAGAGGGCTTTCCTGAAGGCCGATCCGGAGTTGACCTTGTCGTTGATGCCCTTGGAGATGCGATCGAGGATCAGTGGCACCGACGTCATGCACGTGGGCTTCAGGACGCTGGCGTCGCCCTTGCAGCCCCGCCTGATCTTGCTGCTCGTATCGATGAGGGTCAGCGGCGTCGAGTAGCCAATGGAAACGCCAGTCATCAGGCAGAGACTCTCCGCCACCAGTTCGAAGACGTGAGCCAGCGGCAGGAAGCCAATCAGCACATCATCCGGATAGATGGGCACCATATCGACGAAGCCCTTCATCGTGGCAATGCAGTTCTTGTGCGACAGCAAGACACCCTTGGGTGTGCCAGTCGAGCCGGATGTGTACATAATAATGGCAATATCATCGCTCTTGGGTGGCACGCTCTCTGTGGGCACAAACAAAAATCAAAACTCAATTAGTGAAAGTGGAATGTCTCCAGTGGAATGCCTGCCCTGTGCTGTCACCTATACCAGATCTCATAAAACATACAAATTATCTCAAAATTTTACGTGTTTGAGTGTCAGTATTTCGAAATATGGATAAAACTTTGGAGGAGTTCATTATATTCACCCCGTTGACATGTGTGGAGCAGTGCAATGCTCTAATGGAGGCCACAGCAGCAAAACCCAAGACCTGCTACGTATTCGTCTCGCTCTTTGGCGCGTACTGTGGACTGTTGGCCTATCGGGCATATCGCAACTATGTCGCCAACACTGGGACATCGTCGGAGCCAGCGCCGGGGCCATTGGATGCGATACCAGCTCTGCCAGCCGCTCTCGTCTCCGAGTTGAGAGATCTCCCAACTCAGCTGATGTTCGAGTCCATTAACCTTGCCGAGAACAGGTTGCAACCGACACGAAAAGGGACACTATCCAATTAGCTAATGGCTCAATATTTTCCCCTCTCTCTCTTTGGCATAGCTGGTGCTTTTACAGTGAGCTGACTACACCCAGCATGGACCATCTCGTAAGGACCACTCAGACACTGGATGATGAAGAGGCCAACGCCTCAACATCGACATCGGTGCCAAAGCTTAAGTCAGTGCCGCATCATCTGGGAGATGAGAACTGAGCAAGGGTGTGGCAACCAGCTGTCCCATATAGATTTCAACTCTCATCCTTCTCTAGAAACGCACCGAATTTGCTGTCCTGTCCTATTTTGACCACCTGGTTGAACGGCAAGACCTTGACGCCCTCCTTGAAGCCAGTGGTTTCCGTTTTGTGCAGCTGGTCCTCCATGTAGATAATGGTGTCCACATTGGGGCACTGGGCCAGCAGGGTCTTGAACTTGGGCAGCAAGTCGTGCGAGGTGATGACCGTGGTGACTTCCGTCTCGCTGATGCCTGGCAAGCAATTAATTTTCTCACATTATTACTCGAAAATGGTATAAATAAATGGGTCATATACTCACAGTGGGCCACGCCATCGTCTCCCAGGGTGGCGTAGACGGTGACAATGGGCATGGCTTGCTTGAAGCAGCCATGGGCGGCCACCATCCACTCGGCCCGGGTCTCGGCGAAGATGACAATGTTCTCACGCGGCTTCTGGCCGAGCTCTCGCAGGCCGCGGCCAAAGTTGGCCGCCTGCCGTTCCGCCTCGGTGAAGGTCCTCCACTTGTAGTCGCCCATGTTGTATTTCTTGAAGACACGTCCGTTCGGCTGCACCTCGTCCTCCTCGCTGAGGATCTGGCGCGTGCCCAGACAGCGCTTGTTCGAGTGCGTCTTGGCCACATAGTTGAAGACCTTCTCCAGCGTATCGATGTTCTCCTGCAGCATCTTCACGTGCACATCGCGTGGCGGGTCCGTGGTCCGGTATGTCAGCTCGCTTTCATCTTTCTTGATGATCTTGGCCTGAAAGAGGAGGGGCAAACAGTGGATTGATTACTGGAATGTCGTGTCAAGGATCGACTGGGGGCAGGGTGTGGGCGATCAGCGGAGGGAGAGTACAGACATGTGAGCTTGAAGGGGGTTGTGGGTTATTTGGAATGGGGCCATAACACGGGGAGAACATGTTTCTGGGACCAACACCAAAGAGCCGCCCAAAAGGTGTGGGGGGGGGACGAACTCTTTGCATGAAACACCAATTCCTAGGAACATTTATTGTGCTTTCTTTTTGTGTATGTGTGTGTGTGTGTGTGCCAGTGTATGTGTGTGCGTGTGTTTTGTTCCACAACAAATATTAGAGTTCATAAATAATTAAAAAATCGAAATTGGCAAAAATTAAACCTCAATGTCATCCGGCGCGTACTTGGACTCATCGACCAACATTTTCTGTTTCTGGTTAATGGGCTTGGCCTGTAGGAGGGAAGGAAGGATACAAGGAGTGATACAATATATGCATGGTATGTGTAAATGCGTTGAGAGCCTCCTAGCGGGCTGTCCGTATAGATTTACTCGTTCGTTGTGTACCCATTCGGGAACTGTATATTACCTTTCAGCTTTTTGTACACCCTATTTACGGCACAGGCTATTATGGCCCCTTAGCGCACATAAACCTTATCGGGCCGGCTCTAAGCCAGCCAAAAGTGCTCTTCAGCAGTAGATTGGGAAACCATATGGGAATACCCTAGGAAGTAGTCCATCAGAAACATTTCTTAGGCTCTTACGCCGTTGATAATTTATGTTTTATATTTAGATACTGTCTACAACTAATTCTCTAATGCATACTATCCACTTTCCTACCTGCTGTGTTCTCTCTCGCTTATCAAATTCGAAGGTTTTTTATGCTGCATGGTAGGCCTTATCAGGAGGAGGAGGAGGCGGAGGCGGAGGAGGACACCGCCTGCAATCGCATATGGCGCAACAACAGGTGCAATTAACAGAAATTGCCATGATTTTGATGTTCGCGACCAAAGAAGGAAACAAACCTCAACGCTTAATTGTCGCATACAAAATCGAATGAATCTTTGATAAAAGCAAAACTACAACAACGAACAAGAGATAATGTATAGCCGTGCCGGGTCAATAAATCAAAAGTCATCGCGCCAGTCCAATACATAGGTAGATAGTAGATTACGAGGAAATGGAGAGACAGATAGAGAGAGAGAGAGAGATAGCAGAAATAGAAATAGAAATAGATTTAGATTTAGAGGCAGAGACAGAGACTTTAGAGAGATAGTTAGTGCCTCAAGGTGCACAAGGGATTGCGTGACGTGACGTGAAGTAAAATGGAATTCAAAACTGATAGCAAGCGTGCAGTTTTTTCAGAAAAACTATGTAGACAAGTACATGGTCCGATCAGAACTAAGCCAGGGCGCTCTTAGTGTCTGTCTGGTGTACTTTGGAGCGGCGGCCAGGGGCAAAGTCGAACGTATTCCAAAGCGATTCTAGAGATACTAGTTAGTTACAGCGCTGATTGGCTGATTAAATACGCTTTCTGGGAAGGGAATGGAGTGGAGTGACATGGCATGGTCGTGTGTCGTACTCACCTTCACTCGGCGCGAGTCCTGTCGTCGCTGCCATGGCTTCTGCAGGACCAGGTAGACCGGCAGGGTTATGATGTCGTACACGAACGCGATCGCCTTGATCGCCCCAATTGCGCTCTGCACCCAGAAGCTGTCCATTCTGGAAGAGTAATTGAAAACACACACAAATCAGATACAGCTCAATCGTAATTGGTATGCAAATTGTATTCTAGAGCCCAGAACTTTAGAAGGAGAACCCAACACAACCCTTGCCTTCCCGTCCCTTCTCCAGTGCCCACCCACTCACTCGCTGTAGCACCGCCGTCGCCAGCCGAAAACAAACTGATATCACCTGCTACCACAGTTGGCAAATCTTGAGTCCGAAAGTTGGAAAATCGGAAAAGGGGTTCGCTTTTGCTCGTTCGCTCGTCCGCACTCTCATGCCGCTCACTCGCTCGCTTACGTGATCGCTCCCCACTCTCTCTCTCTCTCTCTCTCTCTCTCTCTCTCTCGCCCTCTCAGATCGACGGCGTGCTCAGAAAACGCTTTTCGGAAAGGCGATTACATTTGGAGAGCGCCGGGATTGTGGATTGAGGGGTTCGGCTTTTTATCAGCCGGAGATTGCGAAACCAAAAGGCCCCGAAGACCGTCTCGCCCCAAGGGGCGCTCTTCTTGTAACGGGGTGGCGGCATGTGGTGCCTCCACGTGCTGCAGGTCTACCGGTTTCGTCTACGGACTTTTGGTTATCCACGGCACGGTTTCTTATCCGCCATTGGCGCGTCGCCAACCACAATGGTATGGTTGCCAACGGCCTTATGGATATATCTCAAGAATGAAGTGCGTTTGATTGAAACTGTGATCTTTACTGCCCGCTATATTCCGTGTACAAGAAAACTCTCGGGAAGAATTGATTAACTTATTGTTTTTTTTATCGATATTATTAATTATATGAGCCAACTTTCAGCTATCACTCAGTGATAGTTTAAATTTGAAACACACTTATCAATTTGATTAATTTTGGACTTATCTGCCACCAAAAATAGCGAAAATTTGCCTACAAATTAATGCAATTTCCGGATGAGTTTCTTTCCCCCCACGACGGGGACTGGTCTCCTGCTATCTCCATACCTATATCTGACCTTCGTTGGCAAGACCAGAGATTCTGGCCACGTATTTGCTACCAAAGGCTTCTATTTCGACAACTGACACCCCAGCCAGAGGCTTAGGCGAACAGAGCAAACGAGAATCCAAAAACGAAATACATGTCGTGTGCGTGACGCGTCAAATTTGTGTACTCTGTAATCCTCTGCTCCAAGTAAACCAGATATTTTCCGGATATTTCGAGATTTCGCCAGGCACCAAGTACAGTTTAACTTCCCTAACTCGAACGTCTGATTACGAGACGTGGCTAAAAGTACTACTGAGCTCGACAATGAGGTTTCTACATCACAGTTTCCTACAGATGACGAAGCGGAAAGTGATGAAAATTCATCCCTCAAGGACGATGTTGAAGACGCCTTTAAGTGTCTGCCTGCAAGGGATGATCACTATAAACTGGAATCTCTTTTTGTTGAAAATAACAACAACAAAAATGGAAGCTTCAGTCATCAATATATGAGATTTTTAGGCCTATGTAACTTGTAAGTAGCATATGATTTAAAATAAATAAATACTATATGTATTATTATTAAAACAATTTTTTATTATGTAATTTAAAGTCTCTATAAGTCGAATATTTTAGTTAAAGGTAACGCTTTTCGTATTTTCTTAACGATATTCAATTACTGGATTTGTTGTATTGTCATTCATTGATAGGCACAATGAACTCACTTTATTAATCAAAAAGTTTAAATAATTTTGATTAAGTAAACCAAACGATAAATCAGTCCCTGCGTGGCAACACTCGGCTAGATTGTTCCTACTCATATACTATAGCTATATAAGCAGCGGATCCATGGCAATAATGCAAAATACCGTTGAACAATTGATAACGCGATCGTAGGCGAGTGGCCTGATAAGCGGGAATTGTCGAATGGGAGAGCCGTGTCCTTGAACTTGGCGGCTTGCGCAACGCGGGGATGACGTCAATTTCTCAAACACGGTGCACTCCCATGGGTCACCGAGTGTTATTATTCTTATTTGGAGCTTGATTGGTCATGGAATGGCTGATTTAAGTGATAGTCACGGCTAATTGCTTCAAATGATAAATGTGAATGCGAAAATTAGAATTATTCGAATGGATTTTGTAACCAGAATGCTTGCACTCCACAAAAGAAAGCAGTTTCGATATTACAAAGTATATATAGTCTCTAGGAAATATCAAATGCAGGTCTTCCAGATTCCGAAATAAATCCAAGATGACATTTTTATACGCAAAGGTTTTTATTCTTACAAATAATTTATGATGTGGATCCTAATCTTGACTTATTTGACCGTTTTATAGCCCTCCTAGTCGAATGAGGTTTATTCGCTGTAGAAATTTCCCATAAAGGAACGGATACACCCACCCAACACCAAGCATACACCATTACCAAGGGCCTTCCCCACTATTTCTAGGGTAACTAACAATTAGATGTACTACAGATAGCCGTATTCTTATGGAGAACGAGAAAGGCAAGCATGAAGGTAAACAGGTAAACGGTGTCGGGCATTGGTACTACTTACTGCGCATCATCTTCGATGAACATCTCGTCGTGTGCTTTCTCTTGGTTTTTCTGTTTGTCCGATCTTCGGGATTAGTGGTGGGGCTGCCCAGAACTGCAGGTGGGCTGGGTTATTGGGCGAAGAGTGCGGACACACAAAGTTACACCGCACACACTCACACACACACACACAAAGGGTGACTTTTTCGCTCTCTCTCTCTCTCTCTCTGATTGTTGCTTTTATGTTGATGGCAAAGCCTGGCTTCTGTGTATAAGGGCACACGACGAATGGATGGAACAACAGAGAAATGACGTCACGTTTCCTTCGCGTGATGTTACTGTTGTTACTGTTGTTGTTGCTGTTGTTTTTTGTTGTTGTTGATGAGGTATTTCCCTGTAAGCGGAAAGAGCACAGGAATATGCATTTATGAATTTAATGACAATGAATCAACAGAACAGATTATGGAATACAGAAAATAAGCAAAAAAAAATACAAAAACTTAAAATCAACCTCAACCATGGACAAACAGGAGGGGCGAACAGAGGGGATTCTGCAGATATTAACCAAAATAATACATAAAAAGCTTTAACTTACGTTGAAATATGCGTATCTAATATTTATGTTATAGATTACAAAAAAAAGGAAGTACAAAATAGGTATATATGTATGTATTTCCTTGAATCAGCGAACATGTTGTTCTTTCAAGTACCACATTTTTTAATATATAATAAAAATTTTTAAGTATAAATATATATTTCCTTTGTTTATGCTTAAGCATAAACTTCTATAAATAGTTGCAAAATCATATCCATCCCAAGTAGTCTTTCAATTAGTTTCAACCATCATAAATATTCTAATCAAATCAGAAATCGAAAGCAAGCAGCTCCAAAGGAAACAAAAACAAGTTTATATTACGTTTTGACTTGTTTTCATTTTTGGATAGTTGCCAAAAAAAAAAAACAAAAAAAGAAACCCTCGAAGGCTGATGATAAGAAAATAAAGAAAGAAATTATAGAAAGTATATGTATGAATAGATAGGCACATGGTATATCTAGAGCAAAAATTAAATTTAGACAGACAATTTTAAAAGAGGTAAGAGATTGCATAATCGAATTCTCTCAGACACAAACACACTCTCTCTCTCTCTCTTTCTCCCTATCTGGTAGACTCTCTTTCTGTTGCTCTCCCTAGTGGTAGAGAAAACATTGACATAGGTCGGGGCACCTTCGATCGAATCACAGAAAAGCGCTTTGCCAATTAATTAACCAACAAAATAAACGAAAGTTTTTTCGATGTTTTTCTGGCCAAGACCGAAGCACAGACCAAAGTCCGTTCATCCGTTCTGTTCTGGAGTTTGATATAAAGAACAGGTTCTTTAGAATCTGCCGTTCCTGATAAACGAAATTAATAATCCGCCCCAAAACCCCCCTAAAAAAGAACAATTATCGTTGGTTATGCCACCATTTGATAAGGGAACAGGGGACAGAAAAGTGATCCAGTGCATAAATATAAAATTTCAGTTCAGTTTATTTCAACTGGGGGGTAACAAATGACGACGACAATGTTTACGCATCGTGTGGAGTCCGTTGAACCCACCCACCTCTCCCCTTCACGTTTAAGCCAAAATCGAAGCGAAATGCGGTCCCAATACGTGTTTTGTTTGCCAAGAAAGAGAGAACTGCCAAAAAGCATAAAGTTAAATATAAACCAGCAGTATTTGGCATTTAAATATTTGCCAGTGAAAGAGGAAAGGAAAGATTCGTTATCTTGGGGCAAAGGGTAAACACCACAGTGCAGAGTTGACGAGGCTCTCAAGCTTTTGTGGATTGGCAATGCATGATAATCGAATGAAAATGCAAAACTATTCTGTTTGACATTAATTAATCCCGCCTGTGTCTATGGCCGGAGACTAAACTTTGAGCGCGTTCCCACCGTGCACCAACGTGCACCAATCAACGTACGTCCGTGTGTCTATAGATCGTAGATCGTGGATCGCGAATGGCGCCCCTGGTCAAAGTTGCAACAAAACCAGAGATCGAGAGAGAGAGAGAGGGAGGGAGAAAGCGCAGGTTGGAAGCCGACACGAAGCCGAATCGCGTGTTGAGAACAAAGGTTAAACCGATGAGAGAGGTCTGGGTACTCGTACATGTGTACGGATTACTGCGGATTAAGACAATGGGGAAATTGTGCACATTAAGCGATGATTACTGTAATCCGCACTATGATGCTGGATAAGTGATAAAATGAACAGGACAGAGCCCTGACTGATTCAATCAGATCCGAATCACGGCCATTCAGGGTTAAGTAACCACACACGCGGCGTGTGCGTAATGTCACAAAGTGAGACCTTAAGTCCGAAGTCCGGCCACAGGTCAAGCAACGAACGCTTAACACAACAACCAAGCTATAATTAAGACATAATTTGAAAGAATAAATTAAGAATTCAAAGTGGAGCATTTAGGTAGGGCTATTTTATTGCAAGCCCCGATGAACATTCATATTCATTCTAAAAAAGAACAGAATAATTTCTAGTGAAAGATAATAGTCGAACAAAAAAAAAACCAAGCGAATGGGATCCATTCTTATCATAATTGGTTATGTACTTGAACTTGAAATACCGATTACAGAAATAACAGCGTTTATTTGTCGGTTTCCGAACGAGCCACTTTATGCCGTTATACTCGTATTCGAGTTCCCATCGAACTGCTTGTCCATTGCTCGTACAAAGCAGTGTTTAATGTGAGGGTGAAACTTATTAATTACAGCTTTTAGCTGCACTTTTTGCATACATTGCACAACAAATTGCAGTTTTCTGAAATCATTCAGGCGGAAAGCGTTGTGCTTGAGTTGATGTGGAAAGCCCACAAAACAAATCCTCGAACTTGAAAATGCAGTTTTTTCTACGCTTCTGTTCGGTGGCGGTGGCGTTTGCATACATTTGCATCATATTTGCTGACCGCAGTGCTTAATACTCGAACAAGTTTGTTTTCCGCCCAATTTCCGAAGAACTTAACTGCAGGAAAATAAAAAAGGCAAAACGAAATATACAACGCGAGCTTTCAAAGTCCAAGATCGCTTCTGCTGCTACGGTTCAAAATTCAAGTTTGGTGTCGGACATTACGAAATCGCAGAAACCATGTCAAAATGCGAGTGTTTATCGTCGTTTCTATATACGAGTTAATTGTACGGTCAGGCGTTGTGTTACTCATGCCAAATGCTGAAACAATTATGAGCACAGCAAGACCACGTCATGTTGCACCAAGTAGACGCTAACGTGTCTACTTACTTTGATTGCATTTCATTCTGTTCTACCTGATACTTTTGAAGTAAATTCCGCAAATCTATTTGCGCAGGGACTATAAGTAGTAATAGGGAGGGGAGGAATACGGTATTTAAAGCTCTCCCTCTCTCTCTCACAATGATGAATCGGTTGTTCCTGGGACTACTACTTGGAGCAGGAAACCGTCATCCGAACAGCTGTTGAAACTGTGAAAACTTTTTTACGAGTCAATAAAAAAATCACTTGCGTAAATATTTAGAATTGCATATGGGGGAACAGTGCTCGTCTCGCTGTCTCTCTCTCTCTTTCGTCTTTCCTCGTTTACAGTTACTTGAACTTTGGCCAAGGTGCCTTCGAAGCAGTTGTAACGGGAAATTATTCATCAGCTGGCAGCCTTGAACACAGCCCAACAAGCCGACGTCGCTCTGCTCTGATTTCGTCTCCTCTCGGTCTATAATTTGCATTATGTGCAAAAATTAAATTGATATGCAACATTTGGATTACTGTGTATGCACGTGTCGAGCAAGCGCATTTCGCCGCTGCATCAGTGTTTCTTTTTCTCTCTCTCTCTCTCTCTTCGGTGTGTTCTCTTTTGGCAAAGTTCTCTCTGGCAAATGATGGGGTAACGAAATGATCGTATGACTGTGCCAAAGTCCAAAATAAAAATACTTTTTTCCACTTGCAGCAACAGCAACAGCACAGGCACTACACACATAAAATACAATGAGAATTACTCAAACGAGATTGAAATAAAGAAAACAACGGCGACGAGAACTTGCGAGCTTTTGCACGGCGCGTTGAATATTTCATTCAATGGAAATGAGAAGAAAAGAGCAAGAGCAACAAACATGCAAAACAAACAAGCGAGAAAGATCAAACCTCCCAGAGAGAGTCTGTCCATTTATGTGGGGGAGAGAGAGAGAGAGTGGTTGTCTCTCTCTCTCTGTGAGTGGGTGTGTGTGGGTCTATCTGTTGGGGGGCAAATTTAAAATAAATTTGATTATCGCCAAATGCAGAGGCAGAGCAAAAGAATGGGACATTTGGAGAGGTGGGGAATTTGAATATTCCTCTCCTTCCGCTCATGAGCATGCCTCATCTGATATTAATACACCTTGCAAGTAATTCCGCTCTCTTTTGCACTCGCTCATTTCTTTGCCGCTGGCTGAATGTTTTTCTGTACGTACGTGCGCGTACAAGTATGCAGGTTGCGGTGTGTGTGTGTAAAAGTAAGGCAACAACGTAGCAGCATAAAATTAATGACCTAGACAAGCGCTTGCGTCGCGACGCAGTACTTATCTTTAGAGTGACTATCACCCATCACACACCGAAGCGAAGCACGTGTTCCAGTGAAATTTTCCAGAAGAAGCACAAACAAAAATATGTACTCGTATAAAATGGAATCGAATCAGCTTTGGCAATGATCGTGAGAGGCAGCCAAAGCCAGGCCAGAGCCCGGTTTAATCGAAGCGGTACTGCAAAAACCGGTTAGAAAATCTACCAAAGTCATGACTAAAACAAACACAAATAATGCTCGTATGATGCACAGGCGTAGACGAGCAGGGGTCTGAACAATGTGCTCTGAAGAGCTGTTCCCCCAAATTATCTCCCGACTTCGAATCGCCCCACGCATGAGCCACTGCAGCCACTCGCTTATCTCGTCGGACTGTGTGCGGTCCATTCCAACGGTGAAAAATGTCATGTTTTCTAAGCCTGCCACATGCCGAAAATAGAATTTTTTTTTAATGAAAACAAGTTAAGAATTGAATGGCGTGACAACTAGAAATCGAAACAGGAACCAACACAATTTTATAGAAACTGAAATCGAAATCACAAACATAAGCGCTGTTCGATTCAGTCAGAGCTGTTCAAGTAAATTCAAGTGCAAATAATACGCTGCTCATCCAAAATTGTATGCACCGAGCTGAGGACACACAAACGAAGTCACAGGAATGCAGGGGGTAACATTTACGAATGGAATTAACAAGTCCGCGACAGAAGCTAGTCAAGTTTCGCACGCCGAAGCATTTAATGCACTTCCAGAGACTGCGCTTTTTATTTATTTTTTTACTACGTGTTTTTTCTCAACGTTGTGACACAAATAAAAATTCCCTCTGCTAAAGCCACAAAGAGGGACAGATTAATAGAGAGTAAAAGCGGCAGCTGACGCTGCGATGTGCTGTTGCACAAAACAAGTAACGGCGCAACTGTGGAAGCACTGGCAAACAGCCCAAAGGGGGTTGGGCAACAGGCCGATTACAAAATGTCATTACGATATGAAATCCAGCCGGAGGGTGTTGCAGGGTCGGAGGGTCTGGTCTGCCTTCTGACGCCCCAGACATCGCGTGACTATTTTCGATACAGCGCCCGGCGCGCGCCAGGGAGAGAGGAAAAAGAGAAAAGCCTCAACTGCAACGGGCAAACGGAAAAGCCTCCAACAAGAGTCACGAGGCAAGGCGAAAGGGGGTGGGTAGCAGGGTGGTGGTGCGGCGGGCTCTGCTGGCACGTTTTTCTTTCATTCGATGGCATTTCGTTATACCAGCTGAAAATCGTACGACTTTCAGGGGAAATGCTGCCGCTGTCTCTGCCGCTGCCTCTGCCGTTGCCGCTGCCTCTGTCGCTACCTACCCACCCTGTAAGCTTAAAACAAAGTAAAAGAATATGCGACGAAGAGAGCAACCAAGTGACTCAGAGAGGGCGAGAGTCAAAGAGAGACAGAGAGCCGGTTGCATGCGTGTGCGTCAACTGTACTGTAGAAGAGCGGAGAGAAACGGTATTTGTTGGTGTATGTGTGGTCAGGGGAAATGTGGAAAGGTCAAAGAGCAGATTGTTTACATGAAACCACCTCACGGGTTGGAGAAATGCAATGCCCTGAGTTGGATGGGTGTCTTGGCCATGAATGAAAACTGAGACCGGCAAATTAATTCGACGGGGAAACGGCGAGGAAGTGAAGGGGGCTGACGCAGGTGCTAGAACATTATTAGATTTTCTTCGAAAAGTAAATTCTAATTAAACTTATTAAATACACATAAATTACAACAATATCTTAATCTTTGAAATTGATGACTAATAGAAGCGGAAATGCCTGAGACTGAAGATATGTGCATAAATATATTTCTTATAATACTATAAGGCTATCACAGAAGTTTCCTCTAATCTGAGAATGACAACAGTAAATCAATAGCGTTAGTTATTTCTCCTTGGTGATCATATTACTACTAAATTCTTTAGCCGTCATAGGATCTAAACATCTATCTGCAAGGTTTCCCTTTTTGAAGCTTCTTTGACACACAATTCCGACTTCCACCTGGAATCGCGCCATCTCACATTTGCAACTTATAGCACTTACCGCTTGCAATCCCGTTATCTCTCGCGTTTATCTATTCCGGCTGAACTTTAAAATGCATTCCACCTGCAACACGACCCGCGACGTGCCGTTTCTCTGGACAAACGGCAGCGATATGAGCGATATTCCGATTCTAAACTGCTTACAGTACGACCTGCTTCCGGCCATTGCGAAGCCGCGCCCTAGAAACAAGACGGGCCAACCTACCGACCCCCCAACTCCCCATTTCCGTTCCGAATGCAACACACCCACGCAGGCCCACAGCCCACGGCCACGACACCCATCCAGCCGCTCAGCTGGTCCCAAGGAATCACAAACAGATGACACACGTCACACCAGCACACACACGCACAGAAACACACACATACATAGAGAAAGCCACAGATGACCCCGAACTGGAAGCGCCCCTGCCTTGTGCCACGGCATTCTCCTGCCACCCACCAAAGCAAAACTCGCATGATTTTCAGTTGGTATATCAAGGCGAGACAGTGGGACAGAGAGAGGGACACTGGGAGGGAGAGATACAACGATAGGGAGAGCGTCTGCGCAAAATAAATTACAAGAACTTTACACGTGGAAAAAAGTAGGGGAAATCCACTAAAAGAGCAATATCCAAAGAGAGAGAGGGTTTACAAAGAGGAGAACAATGAAGAGAGAGAGGGTTTACAAAGAGAGCGCGGTATATGCATGTGCGTAGGTCCCAAGAATGAAATGAGAATTTCCGTCTAATTCTTATTGAAATGTCGATTACCTGCGGGAGGGGCGTCCAATTAACAGGTTGTGAAAGCAAGGGGAGTGGAACCAAGTCGCCGCATCAAGCCAAAACTGTTTTTTCATTGCACAAACAAATCAATAAACAAATCAAGAAAACAATACCTAAACACTCCGCTGCCATTGGCAACCAATTGCATAAGGCAAAGTGCAGTTGCACTGGTACAAATATATGTAAATATGTATATGTGCAGGATAAATTGGGTCAGCGTCAGAGTGACAAATATAGTCGATTCCTTAAAGAGTCTCATTAGACAAAGTGCACACGTCATTGATAAGGTGGCGTGACATTCGGAAAAACTATAAAAAGAGAAGTCACAGCCGGCGCAGAGGTGAAATAATCTAAGAGAGGTATGGAGGAAGAGAGAGAGAGAGACTTGTCAGCTGAGCCTCACTGGAGGAAAGCCACCTACGTCACAATAAAACTCGGAAACTTACCTATGATTTTGTTCTCAGTCCTGGACAGAGGGAAAGCTGTCGGTTTGTTTTGGTGGGAGAGCGTTCGCACATGCAATGGAGATAAAATATAAATCAGCGATCGACGATTATATAAATTGACGTTTGCCAATAAGAACACGAACACACACACAGGCGATGGCGCTCCCGCTCACGCATAAACGTAATGCCGCATAAAATGTTGCGTTGGCGTTGGATTCTTGAAAACGCTTCTCTATATATATATTTAGTGAGTGAATCGGTGGCCGCTTTTATCAAATGCGCTTTAAAGTGATCACAAAACTTTCGCAAAAAAACTTTCACAAACTGCACAATTACTGACAAACACTAGCGCACACACATAGTATGTTTTAGTGCACGTTACTTACACAAACTCACACACTCCTAAGAAGCGCTTTTGAACTGCGTTTTAAGAATTTCGCTTGTATGTTAGTTACTTTGTCGTATTAATTTGGCGCCCGCATGAATCAAATTATTGGACTCTCTTTTCTGTACGACAACGACGACGCGTGCACAACCGTTTGCGTTTTGCGTTGGGCGGCGTTGGTTTTGGTTTTGATTCGAATTTTTCACCGCCGCTTGCTTTTGCCACGATATTATTTTCTCCTTCATGGTCGCGCTCTCTCGCACGCTCTCACCACCCAGCAGCGCTCACGTTTTTCTTTCATACGCTTCTGCGGCTCCTTTTTTCTTTTGTTTGTAATTGCGAGCTCAGAATGTGATTGATTTAGCAAATGTAATTAATTCTCTCAATGCATCGGCTATACACTTACTCTCATGATGTCGCTATCACGCGATTTCTGTTGATTTTTTATTGACACTTTTTTTGTTTAGCATTTGCATTAGAGATGGGCATCAGTTTTGACCGCGGACCAAAATATACCGTCTCATTTTGAAAATATACCGTAAATATACTGACGAATTCAAGTTATATTTTACATATTACTCGTTTTTTATCTTCCGTGGAATATAACTAATTAAATAGAACCCTCAGCGCTGCTCACTTAATTTTATCCAATTAATGCATCAATTTTCTACACAATTGGTTTTGACTAAAACAAGGTTTAAACAAAATAGGTCAACAAAAAAAACAGTCGCAATGTTGCTGGTATTTGCAGACTCATTTCTTGCCAACCAGAGTGTGGTCATTTGTATACCCTATTATAATATTATATAAAGATACTGTTTTCCAACCTGCTTTCAAACGTAATTAGTAAAGACCTTGTCTTAAATTGCATTTTTAAGGCCTATTCATGCATTTGATTAGGTTCTTGTATACAAATCCTGATCCCTGTAGCGATTCTTTGTCTCTGTAAGAAGACCACTAATTGCAAAATATCGTTTAAACGTTTAAATATCGTTTAACTGACCAGTTTCTGCATTAATTAGAGAATTGGATGACATATATTTTCGCAGTTCTATAACATCCATTTCCCCCAGGGTATGTGCATGGAATTAGCAACATGTTTGTGTATGGAATGAGACTCAATGTTGTCAATCGGGTATAAGAGGTCCTTACCCGAGTCAAGTTCGGTTATCGATACTATCGACTGGTTACGAGTGGTGCGCGCCAAATCTAACTTTTCTGAATGTGAGCGACAAGGATTTAAATGTTGTCAACCGGGCCATTACCGATTCAGCAAATACGACGATTCCCTCAATTTTGATCTTCCGTCGAATATCAGCTATATGGAAGATTTAGCCATGCCCACATAATTTTATGCGATTGGTGAATCTATTTCCTACTTGATTGGCCTATTCGAAATAATTGTTTCATTCATTTCATTTAATAATCTGAAGTGTTAATAAGACTTCTTAATAATAATAAAGTCTTAATAATATAATAATCACTAACATCACTATCGTCACTAACGATGTCGCTGGGATTTTTTAACAGCATTTCAGTGTTCGGTTCAAAATTCTCGCAACCGTTTTTCTTCCTTAGACCTTGTCTCACATATAAAAGATTTGAAACATTTATATTCTTAAATCTATTTCTTGTATATTTTTTTATTAAGTTCACTTCGGAGAAATTTCTTTCACATGTTGCGTTCGAAACTGGCAATATAAGCAGTACTTGTGCAAATTTTGAAATTTTTTCATATTTTAATTCATTGTTGAAATCTTTTATTTGTCCCAATGTATACCAGAAATGGCCAGGACTTTTGTGTGCTTTTAATAAATTAAAGAACCTCATCATTTTTTAAGAGGACAAATTCACTATCGATTCCCTGCGGATCTTTAATAAGTTGAGGAAATCTTTTTTACAGGTCATGCAAATTGACCATTGACTGTCTTCAGGGTTTAGGAATGAGAGAAGATTAAAATCCTTCTCGTTAAAAGGCAACCTTTTCTCTAATTGTATACTCAACTCGATCAAAAATTACTGTGCTCTTTGGAAAAGGACTTTTAACGTTTGTTTTCTTCTTTGTTCTAACATTATTCAATGGTTTTATATACAAAAAAAAAAGCATCAGCCATTGCAATGGTGATCCAATAGCTCTGTTAAGCTTGTTAATTAGCTTATTTTTGTGATGGCAGTATGTATATCCAGGTGGTTCTCAGACATGAATCTCCAAAAGCACTGGCAAACTATCACCTATTTCTTGATTTTGATATTCAGCTAAACATTTCTCGCTAGCTAGGATACTCAGCTCTGTTGACCGAGTTTTATTGTTGAATCAATTTTCTACAATATTAACTCATATTAAGTACCATTTTTTATTTTATTGAAACAAAAGTGAGTATTCCACAAAGAAAATATGTGAATGTCTCACAAGAAGAGAGCATTTAACCGTCTTTCAATACCAGCGAATGGATAGTAAAGATTTGCGCTTAAGTTTGAAAGTGAATGAGTGAGAAGGATATGATATAAACATCAAGAAAAAAAATGTATAGACAAAGAACTTTTATTTGAAATGTGAATTTCTACCGTTTTGGTGGCTGGTTATCAGTTGCTCTCCAAGATATCGATATTTATAAATATCGCTTATCCGATAAGAGTGGCATGGTGTGTGACCTAGAGTGGGTCGCTATCCATCGGATTTCTGCAGAAGCAAGCAGTGTTTATTAAACTTTAACGCTTCAAGCAGTGAAACTACACTGTTATTGAAAGCAGTCCATTCAAAAATGAATTCAAATTCAAAAAATTTTAAATGAAGAAAACGGTACGGTTCGCTTTTAAAAAACTGTATATTTTATTTAAATGAAAGACAATCAGTCTTCGTGCAACAAATTTACATGGATAAATGCCGCGTTTAGAATAGTTCTTCCATTCTTATTCGTTGCCATTAATTGTTTTTCTCGTTTTTTTTTGTTTTTCAATTATGTATTTATATTTTCATTTTATTTTGGTTGTAAGTACCGTTACGGGGGAGGGCTTTTTTTGTTGTTTTTGTTTTTTATGTCTGTTTGTAATTGTTATTTCTCGATTTAGTAATAGTACTTTTTTTTCTCTCGTTTCATTCGTTTCCATATAAGCGATACTATTTTGGTTCAAGTCCTTGTGGTTCTTTTTTGTATGTACGCGAGCCGTTCCCACTGAACGACTTGTTCGAGCGCTTGCTGCTGCGCACGGGCAGCGGTGAGGGCGTGGATATCCTATCGGGATGCTCCAACGGCACCAGCTCCGCCTCTGGCCCCAGCATGCTCAGCAGAATGGGGAAGACCACCAGACTGTTGCCGGCCCCCACGCAGAGGACCACGATCAGCAGGAAGCAGAAGTGGCGGATGACGAACTCGAAGGGGGACGTGGAGAGCATGAAAACGGCCACCCCAGAGGTGAGCATCCCATGCACCAGGGGACCCAATGACAGCTGCATGGCCAGATGGACGCGACGTTGACGATTGCCCAACGAAGTCATAAGCCCTAAGGAAAGGTCGAAGATTAGTCGAGGTTTTGAGCCGTGTTTTAGATTGGGGACTCACCAGGGAGATGTGCACATTGAAGCAGAGCATCATGCCCACGCTCAGTATGAGTATGACAGCGGGTATGGCCGACAGCTTGATGCCCAGCAAGGTCATGGCCCCAAAGATCTGGGCCAGCGATGCCAAGACGCTGAGGATCACCAGCACGGCGGCCCAAACGGACAGCAGCAGCAGGGAGACCAGCACCAAGGCAGCCTGCAAGACACACGCCAGAATCATGGCCAGCGAGGAGCGTAACGTCATGTACTGCTCCCAGAAGATGAATGGAATGCCTGAAGATAGATCGGTTAGCTTTCGGAAATATAGGTTTGAAGGGTTTGGACCTACGGGAGGGATAGTTGGGCAGACCAAAGCCCTCGAACTTAACGCTCAGGTCGCGTATGTGTCCGATCAGGGTCTTGATCTGCGAGGTGTGTGTCAGGCCGTGCAGATAGAAGGGCATCTGTGCGTAGACCAGGGGCAGGCTCTTGGGTATCTTCAGGTCGTACTCGTTGGGCGCATGATAATACTGACGCGGTTCTGGATAGAGTTTGCCCTGCAAAATCAAATAAAGTTAGTAAATCTTTCAGAGCAAATTAACGATCTAGATGGGCCTACCTGAGAGGCTCCATAGGCGAAGACATCGTTGGTGGCCCAGGCAGAGAGATACTTGTAGAAGGCCTTCGGATTGATTATGCCATCGCTGAAGACCAGCCGATTCGTCTTCACCAGCTCCTTGTCCACCGGATTGTCCACATGGCCCGTCTGCACGATCAGCTTGTACGCCAGGATGGCATCGCTGCTGGCATTCGGGTACCAAACCTCCTTGTTCAGTCGCCCGTCCCGGATCTCATCGTCGAAGATGCGCTGCAGATTGCAGATTCCTTAAAGAGTCTCATTAGACAAAGTGCACACAAAAAAGAGAAGTCACAGCCGGCGCAGAGGTGAAATAATCTAAGAGAGGTATGGAGGAAGAGAGAGAGAGACTTGTCAGCTGAGCCTCACTGGAGGAAAGCCACCTACGTCACAATAAAACTCGGAAACTTACCTATGATTTTGTTCTCAGTTCTGGACAGAGGGAAAGCTGTCGGTTTGTTTTGGTGGGAGAGCGTTCGCACATGCAATGGAGATAAAATATAAATCAGCGATCGACGATTATATAAATTGACGTTTGCCAATAAGAACACGAACACACACACAGGCGATGGCGCTCCCGCTCACGCATAAACGTAATGCCGCATAAAATGTTGCGTTGGCGTTGGATTCTTGAAAACGCTTCTCTATATATATATTTAGTGAGTGAATCGGTGGCCGCTTTTATCAAATGCGCTTTAAAGTGATCACAAAACTTTCGCAAAAAAACTTTCACAAACTGCACAATTACTGACAAACACTAGCGCACACACATAGTATGTTTTAGTGCACGTTACTTACACAAACTCACACACTCCTAAGAAGCGCTTTTGAACTGCGTTTTAAGAATTTCGCTTGTATGTTAGTTACTTTGCCGTATTAATTTGGCGCCCGCATGAATCAAATTATTGGACTCTCTTTTCTGTACGACAACGACGACGCGTGCACAACCGTTTGCGTTTTGATTCGAATTTTTCACCGCCGCTTGCTTTTGCCACGATATTATTTTCTCCTTCATGGTCGCGCTCTCTCGCACGCTCTCACCACCCAGCAGCGCTCACGTTTTTCTTTCATACGCTTCTGCGGCTCCTTTTTTCTTTTGTTTGTAATTGCGAGCTCAGAATGTGATTGATTTAGCAAATGTAATTAATTCTCTCAATGCATCGGCTATACACTTACTCTCATGATGTCGCTATCACGCGATTTCTGTTGATTTTTTATTGACACTTTTTTTGTTTAGCATTTGCATTAGAGATGGGCATCAGTTTTGACCGCGGACCAAAATATACCGTCTCATTTTGAAAATATACCGTAAATATACTGACGAATTCAAGTTATATTTTACATATTACTCGTTTTTTATCTTCCGTGGAATATAACTAATTAAATAGAACCCTCAGCGCTGCTCACTTAATTTTATCCAATTAATGCATCAATTTTCTACACAATTGGTTTTGACTAAAACAAGGTTTAAACAAAATAGGTCAACAAAAAAAACAGTCGCAATGTTGCTGGTATTTGCAGACTCATTTCTTGCCAACCAGAGTGTGGTCATTTGTATACCCTATTATAATATTATATAAAGATACTGTTTTCCAACCTGCTTTCAAACGTAATTAGTAAAGACCTTGTCTTAAATTGCATTTTTAAGGCCTATTCATGCATTTGATTAGGTTCTTGTATACAAATCCTGATCCCTGTAGCGATTCTTTGTCTCTGTAAGAAGACCACTAATTGCAAAATATCGTTTAAACGTTTAAATATCGTTTAACTGACCAGTTTCTGCATTAATTAGAGAATTGGATGACATATATTTTCGCAGTTCTATAACATCCATTTCCCCCAGGGTATGTGCATGGAATTAGCAACATGTTTGTGTATGGAATGAGACTCAATGTTGTCAATCGGGTATAAGAGGTCCTTACCCGAGTCAAGTTCGGTTATCGATACTATCGACTGGTTACGAGTGGTGCGCGCCAAATCTAACTTTTCTGAATGTGAGCGACAAGGATTTAAATGTTGTCAACCGGGCCATTACCGATTCAGCAAATACGACGATTCCCTCAATTTTGATCTTCCGTCGAATATCAGCTATATGGAACATTTAGCCATGCCCACATAATTTTATACGATTGACGAATTAGTTTTCTACTTGATTGGATAAATTTTAATCCTTTATTGTATTTATTGTAAATAGTTCAACAAAAAAAACAGTCGCTATGTTGCGTGTAAGCCCTAGTCTAGGCCTTTGTATACCTAAAGGGGCCTAGGGGGCGGAGGCGTTGTTGGCAACGCAGTTGGCGAGGAGTCGTAGCTTCTATCATGGCGAACAACCAGCAAATCGTCCGTGCTCATTTCACCCTCTTACACATACTTTTAGGGCTTTAAAATCTACTGGCTACTCTTCAGATTTCAGCGCTTATATTGATTGATTGGCGTTATCTAACGTTATAGCATCTGCGTGGAAGGTTTCCGGGTGATACTTGCGTTTACTTTTTATCGCCAAGGCCACCAGAGCCATTCGAATACATTGAAGACTAAAGACTGAGACTAAAACTACTAAGCACAAACAATTTATTAATAATATAATATAATAATATAATTCTAATAATATAATAATAATATAATAAAATAATGGAGTAATATTGAAGTCCGATTTTAGTCCTGGAACTTTTCGCACATTTGGCAAAGCAGTTCCAGATTTCTGTGGAAGAGACATTAGAGATCATATTAGATTTGTTAGAATGTTAGAAAAAGATAGATAGACTTACAATGCTCTTTTGGAAAAATCGCATGTGCTGCATATCAGTTGAGTGCACTTATTGCACGATGCACTGCATTTTGTGCAGGTGAACTCCGCGCAGGTGCTGCATGTAAGTTTGTCTGCATGGCAGCAGAGTGTTACAGCAGCGTTGGATGGCGGTATACTTTTAGCCTTAGGCTTCTTTTTTAGCGCATACTGTTTCGATTGTATGTTATTATAGAAATTTACACGATTTGTACTCACGCTGGTCCAATTGGAAGTTATTTCATTGGGAAATAACTCGGTTATTTCGTCTACAAGCTGGCGAGATTTTGACATCGTTAACTTTACATTTTGTTCAAAATAAAACGCCGTAATAGCTTTTCTGATTAACTTCCTGTCTCCAGGCGTCAAAGGCTCCTTTTTCACTTTTTTTAAAACGGATGTACATTTTGATTTTAGGAGAATCCCGTAAACGTTTATAATCAACTCCACCGTCCGCACTGACGACACGCTGGCTACGTCGTGCCTTGGGGTTACGATACCACTCCATTCTCCTATTTCGGAATCTGAGCCAGAGTCGTCTTTTGGTGGCGGTTTAGGGGTTGGAGGCATTCTTTCGATATGATCTGGACTTATGGAGGGAGTTTGTGGAGGCGGACTATTAGGCTTTGGTGAAACATTATTTGGCTTCGGCGGAAAATTTGGTGGCTTTGGCGGACAATTTGGTGGCTTTGCTGGAAAATTTGGAGGCTTTGGTGGACTTTCGTGTTCGTAGACCAGGGCACGTCGAAGAGCTCAAACGTGGAAAAATAGACCTACTATCAAACCTTTCGGTTTTTACTGGTCAGCCATTTGTACTCATCTTCGATGAGTACCACATCCCACTGCTCTTGACTGTATTTCCACCACGCTGGAAAGTGCTAGCAATAGCTGGCTTCAAAGTGGACGGAACTAGCTTCCGTTTCATTTACTTGCGTGTGGTGCCCATAGCTCAAGCACTTCCGATTGATGGTGCCCGTTCTAAACTGGGCTTAAAAAAAATAAACGCGGCCTTAAGTATCGTCCTGCAAAGGACTGTGGATATGGGCCTAGCAGACAACCTAATGGCTGTTGTCTGCGATGGTTGCCCAGCCAATGGGCTAGCCGTCTCAAATGCCAATTCGAACTTTCCAGCTTTGTGGGATTTCCCCCATCTAGATAGGATTTTTTACAACAGCAAAAAAGCGCCCTTCTCCGATATCATTCTTAGAAATTTATACAATTCGAGCTTCACGCCAACGAATTGGAGGGACGTCTTTGATAATTTGCCAGATTATCACCCAATAGTCCCCACGGAGTATCATGATTATTATACAACAGAGCTATTCAACATCAGAATTATGGTTGACAAATTTTTTTTGGTTCCGCGCGCAACCCCATTGGAGCTAAGGGACATAAATTCCAATAAGCTCGAAGCAATGGGTTTCATCATTAAAAGGCTTGCGGCGGACATTGTAGATTATGCATCCCACATTAGCCAGCCTAATGAATTTCAAGAGGATGCACTCTATTTTATAGCCCGCTTAGTCGGCACTCTAGCTCTATTAGCTCAAGGAACCGCGTAGAAAATCTCTTTTTCAAAGTTTTACTTAATTTGCAAGTTGGCTGGAAGCCCTAGGTCCTGTCGAAGTACAAATTCGACGATTAATATTACATTTATTGTTAATAACTTCATACTTTCAGACACCCCGACGATCGATGCCCCGCCCTAAAAGTAAATATAGTGGATTAGGCCTATTGGGGATACCACTTAAAAAAAAACGCGCCAAAAACTCGACCTCTTGGGTGGTGTGGAATGAGTTTATTATCATAAATAAATAAATCCGGTCCCGCAAGATTGCTGAAAGCGTTGGCCAGCTCAACCTTTAACTGAGCTCCGACGTAGCTCTATCTGGTCCGACGTACACGGATCCCCATGCCTCTCCGACCATACTCCGCTAAAAACTTGACTGCTGTTTCGTTAACGGGATAGCCAGATGCTAGCAACTTCGCCATAAAAGCAGGATTTGCCTCAGGGAATATATGTAGAAGGCTTGACTTCTTCCGTGCTTATTTGGTACCATCGCAGATCAGAGTCTTGTCTCTGCCCTCGGTTGACTGTCAGCTGAACTGATCCGCCGGGCAGTCCTTTCGTCACAGCGCCAGAAGGCGGATATACAGTCGTTCTTTATGTCACTACTCCCGCCACAAAAAAATTATCTGTCCGGATAGACGCCGTAGTTCTCCTTGCCCTCCAGTAGCATCAGAGCATCAGAATCTGGCACGAGCATACGTCGTGAATACTGCGTGTCATACCCCGCTGGCCATGCAGATGTGGAAACACTTTGTGCGACTGTGCAGACAGGTGTGATTGCGCTCCTCTCCAGTCCGGTCTTATCGTCCGACACAAATCTCCCGAAGGCAGAGACCTGCGAGATGTGCATGGAAGCACGGATTTTTCTGTAAAGGGGGAACAGGAGATTACAAGTGTCCAAAGGTGTCCAATATTGGTTGCTTACTAACATCGATACGCATGGGATATCGGACTGTTGGTCTAAGGCCAGAGTCGTGACTTCTTCCAGGTCCACATGCTCATTGCCATCGACTCGGGCCCGAATGATGGCCTGATGGCTGCTGATATCTGTCCAGAAGAGCAGACGCTTCGAGGCTTCGGCGAGTTCGCCCAGGAAGCTATAAGAGGCAACGTTTTAGAACACAGCTGAATAGGGAGAGAGAGCTCCACCTGGGCACGGATAATCTTGCCGGACACCGGCAGCAGCTAATTCGGGCAGTCCGTCGTAGCTGGGAGGGATGCAGGCCACGTCCTTAGCGAGGCTGCGGCTCTGGCCAGTCTTGATCAAAGTCCCCGGTGCTCCAGTCGCTCCAGTACACGTAGTCCTGATACAGGGAAACCGCGTGGCGCTGCTTATGGAGTCCGAGGCGACTCTGTTCAAGTACATGCACCCGCGACGCGTCTCGAGGACGAGGGAACGCGGCTTCTCCACCCCCCTTCCACAAAGCACGACGTCTGCCATCCACGCGGGTGATCTCGATGAGATGAGCCTCCGCATCGGACCGACGCGAGAACATGCCCCATTCCCCACGTCTTTCCATCGCACCAGACGCCAGAATCCTGAAGAACCCGGTGTCCAGATGCCGTCCAGGGTCTGTTCTTTTTCCTCCTTTTTCAATTGTTTTCCTATGAAATTCGTCTTCTGGTGGCTGAGGCAGGGAGTAGTGGGCCACAACTGCGCCAAAGGGCGCCGCTGGTCGTTTCGGCATCGCTGCAGACTCTGTGGCTCGACTTTCACTGTAAATGCGAAGAAGGTGGAAAGCACGGAATAGCCGTGGAACAGTGGCTGTTTTTGGGAGTGCCCTGTGACATCAGGACTTACTGTTATTCGAAGTCACTGTAGGCAGACG